ATAATAAGCTTTATAATGTTAATGCCATATCATTTACAAACTCCATTTTGTGTAAAAAATTAAATTTCCCTATTAAAAAAATTTTTTCTAATAGAATAAATGTCAAATTTATATGGCACATCTTTAAAAATTCGCTCCAGCTGGATAATTTTTATAACTTCAGATGTTAAATGGTGTCCAGATTCCGAAAATTATTTTTTCAAATTTTTAAATTGCACTCAATGTGAGAAAAATGCATTTAAAAATCTCAAACCATATAGGTACCATTTCTTACAAAAACTGGCAAAAATCAAAAACCTATCAATTTTCTTTAGCAAGAAAAGTTTCCAAAAAAAATTTGTTGATTACTAGATTTTTTTTTTTCCTAATAGAAAATTCTAGTTTTTCTTTTCAAAAATTTCAAATTTTTTCAAATTCAATTTTTGTTTTTCAAATTAAAAGTTTGTATAAAATTTCGTTTCAATTTTGTTATTACTTCAATAAAAACATTAAAATTCAGATGGTTTAAAATTTTCAGAGCATACTGGTTCTTAAAAATGTCAACTGTTTTTTGAGTGACTCTCGTCATCCAAAATTAATGACAGTTGATAATTACAGCGCTTAAAATAAGTAAAAATCAAATATAATGAAAAGTTGGGGCTTAAATAAAAATTTTGTGAAAATTCTTTAAAATCACAGAACTCGGAAGCCCTTGAAATTTGACACCCAGTCCGATCTACAAGCGGACCCCAGCTACAAGAAGGAACCAAGCAATTTCAACGATTAATGACTTTTATCAAGCACATTAGCGAAATTTCAATACCACAGCTGTTATAGTTTCTGAGATATAGCCACATAAATTTGGAAGTAGTATGGCAGGTACCCGAACCAGTACCACAATCAACTAATTTAAACAAAATCCTTGCATTTATTATAATAAATAATTTGTGAAAATTTGGTGAATTTAGCTCAATTAGTGTTGAAACTAAGAAATAATGGTGTACATCTCAGACCATTATTTCTTATGTATGGAGTTATGTATGGTAAAGCGAATTCAGTATGATCTTCGAATTGAATCGCGACTAATTAATAAAAGCTGCATTTGTGCATGGTTTATAATTATAAGAAGTTTTCAAAACTTCAACACTATCTTTACAAACTACAATAATTATTTTGATTCCAAAGTTTGCTAATAATTAATTTAGAAACTTGCCAAAACAAAACATAAAAATGATTATTTTATTTTAAAAAGATTTTATTATTTCAGGTACTTCCACATATTTTGTTATACTGTAAAGTTTTAAAAGTATTTAGATTATTTATAATTTTTGTAAGAAATTTTATAAACATTGCAATTTTTAACAAATTATTATGCATAACTTTCCATAATTTTTAATAATGGTGTTTATTTTTTGAACAAAAATTATGTACAAATGTTTTTGTTTAAAATAATCTGTTTAAAGTATTTTAGCCGCAGGAGTGCATTCAATGTAAACGTGAAAAGTTGATTAAAAATTATTTAAATGAAAAATTTCTTGCTTTGAGAATTTTATTTTACGAATTTAGTCATATTAAATTTTGAATTTATTTAGCATATTAAGATGTTAGCTTGACTTATGTATAAAATAATTATTTTAATTTTTTTGTATATTTATAAAGACAATTTACTGAGATTTATTAATTTTGAAAGTTATCTACAATATTTTAAGAGTAAATAATCTTTTAAATAACACATAACTTCGTATGAATTTTTGAGTTCCATAATAAATTTTTATTTGAAAATTAATGTAAACAAAAAATCGAAAAATCCAAAGCAACTATAAGTAAATTTATAGTTATCTCGTATAATTAGGGCTGTCGTTTTGCTCCGACTTGAAAATTTGTGTCCCCTGCTCCAAAATATATTTGCATTTTGGCTCCGATTTTGTTTTTTCCTCAGTCAGGCCCAAAAACAATATTGATAATTATTCTTAAAAAAAAAAAAGTTCATAACGTGAACGTCAGCAGATGAAATATGTTTGTAGAGAATTTTTTCAATAGACGATTATATTGCAATTTCGACATTTTAATGAAAGTTGACCGAGCCTATTTTTGACAACTTGGAAAATTTATTCAAAGCGCCTTCACTTGAGTGCATTGTAATGCGGCTATTTTCTTCTATTAATTAGATTTAAACTATGTTGAAATGGTAAGCAGCATTTTAAATTCAAAAGAATTATATTAAAATATTGATGCGAAAAGCTGGGAACCAAGTTGTGATCTTCTTTAAACTTACAGTAAGAAAATTTGAAGCATTGTAGATTGTTTTTTTATGAAATAAAGGAATTGGCTCCATTTTTTTTTTTTGAAAATTGCTCCCTTTTTTGAATATATGTGCTCTCCATTAAAAAAATTTAACGACAGCCCTGCGTATAACCAACAAACACAAGTAGTCGATTATATGAAGAACAACCGGTACGAGTATAGTATAGTTCTTCCTGAATTTTTCGTATATATGCTCTTCAGCAAAAGCCAATGTTTGGTTTATTGGCAACGACTTATTATACAACATCGTGTAAAAGTTTCGAAAAAACATTTTTTAAAAACATTATATTTCATTTCATTCCTTCCAAGAGAGATAAACTCTCAAAGAAAGAGATTAATAAGAGAGAAAAAACATGAAACTTAAAGATCAAGGCTTAAAGAGAGAGTGTTTATGGGGAACAAATTTTGAAATGAAGTACAATGGTACTGTTATACAAAAAAATTTCAAAAAATGTAATATTAATCTTTATTTTCGATTATTGTATACATGTACATACATGTATACATGCATATACATGTACCTACATGCTTGGAGAAACGTAATTCTAGTAATATTTTTTAATTTATAGAAATAATCCGTTTGCTAAATGGTTAATCTCCTACATATATTATACGCTCAAAAAAAATGTGGCTTCATCTCATAAATTTTCGGTTGCGATAGTCGATAAAAATAACATACAAACAAAGTTTCAGTTGTCCTTTGCTTCTAAAATTGAAAAATGAAAGAAAAAAAATCTGATGTGGTCAGCACATAACCGACCGCATTGTGTATTGTCTAGTTAAATGAAAGTGTTACAGAATATTATAAAAATGTCTGTTAAATACTTCTTTCCAATTTTTAGGACATTAGTAAGCTTATAGTTAACATACTTAGAAAAATGTAAATTTGGCTCTTAGTAGTGTTTCGCTTTGTGCCACCCGAATTCCCTGAAATGCTCGCCAGTTAGTTTGGGTAACAACCAGAACTCAAATATCAAATTTCAAGAAATTCCATCAATTTGTTCTGTGGATATGGTGAAAAATGTAAAATCGGCCCGCAAATCAGTTCTCGAGCCCTGATCTTTCCAAAAAAGTTATATGTTCATTGCTTTAATATGAGGAATTTATATATTAAATTTCAATGAAATCGGTTGATTATTTCTCTTTATATACACAAAAATGTATATTTGGCCCGTAGTAAACGCCCAGTTACTGGTGCCTGATTTCTTCCAAAAGTTAGGAATTTTTGCGTATGATCGAGAAAAGCTTATATATGAAATTTCAAGTAAATCGGTTGAATACTTTCTTCAAAATGGTGAAAAATGTAAAATCGGCCCGCAAATCCGTTTTCGAGCCCTGATCTTTCCAAAAAATTTATATGTTCATTGTTTTAATACGAGGAGTTCATATATCAAATTTCAATGAAATCGGTTGATTATTTCTCTTTATATACACAAAAATGTATATTTGGCCCGTAGTAAACGTCTAGTTGCCGGTGTCTGATTTCTTCCAAAACATACGAATTTTTGCGGACGGTCGAGCTAAGCTTATATATAAAATTTCAAGTAAATCGGTTGAATACTTTCTTCAAAATGTTCAAAAATGTAAAACAGGCCCGCTAAAAAGTGCAGTTCCCGAGGCCTGATATATACCAAAAGTTGATCGATCCGTGCCATGGTGGAAACAAACTTACATATAAAATTTCATCAAAATCGGTTCAGCCGAACTTGAGATACACGCGTGCACACACAGACCGACAGACGGACAGACCGACAGACCGACAGACCGATAGACCGACAGACCGACAGGTTGCTAAAAATAGTTTATTTACACTTCCCTACTATGGAGAAGTGCATTCCCACCGAAAACTCAATATGCAAAATTTGTTGCCATCACATAACCTACCTATTGTTTACACAATACGGTCGGTAATTATCATATCAACAGCTCTTTTTTTAAGAAATTTAAATTATGAATTTTTTGAAATGATTTGCAGGTCTATTCAACATTTTTAGTGCAAAGTATTGCAAATGCAGTCACATTTATTTTTTTTTTAATTAGTAAATTTGAATTAAATACTCTGCAAATTGGTCCTACAAAACAAATTTTACTGAAACTTTATTTGATTCGAAATGTCAATTTTGGAGTTGGAACATTTTGCTTTTTAACGCGTCAAATGGGTTTCGTTTCAAATAACCTAACGATTTGTTCATTTTTTGTGATCTATGCTGATTGAAGTATTTTATTTTTTTTTTAATTTTGAATTGAACTACCAAAAATGTAATTATTTTGACTACAATTTGTTTCATATCGAAAGCTGTATTAAAAGAAGTACTTAATAAGTTTAATTAAAAGAAATGTAAGGATAGGAAGTACATACTCTCGGTAGCATTTAAAAGTATTTGGAGTATGTGTTTGTAAAAATTTAGTTTTTTCTCATTACTTTAAAGTAGTTTCGAAATTGGAATACCCAAGCATATGCTTTCAAATTAATAAAAAAGAAAATTTGATTTAAATTTTTATTTTTCTAAATAATATTTCCTCACACAATTTTAATAATATCAATAAATTTCAAGGTTCTAAAATTTTGTGATTACTTTTATTTTAAACATTCATGAAATTGTTAATTAAAACATTAGGCATTTTAAATTTGTGAATCAAATTATTTCATAATAAAATATATTTGTTTAAATAACATGTGAATATTAATTAATAAATGAATTTTATTTCATTTTCAGAATTTATATGGGTGAATGAAAATTTCTTCTCAACAAAAATATCATAAAATATTATGAAAGCAATATTATTTTACATTGACCTATTAAATGAGACGTTCTTTTTCGAATTGCGTTTGGAATAATAAAGTAAGAAGGAGAGATGTTGCTAGCAGGTAATCATGCTGAAGAGACATCAAAGCACAATAAAAATAAATAAATTTCTCTCGCGTGGTCTTATTATTAAAAGGATCCTCAAACTTTAAGTTTTTAACAGACATTTTTTTTTAAATAAGTTTTATGTTGAAGAGCGAAAAAAACAGCGTTATATTTTTAAGACATTGATAAATTACAACAACGAAAAAAAAGGAATTATAAAAGGAAAAAGCCAAAGATAAAGAGCAGGGAGAAAATTTCATAAATCATGTCTTCAAAAAAATTGAAATTTCTATGGAATTCCGGTACATTTTTAGTAGTGTTAATAAACAATTTCGGTAAGTAATGAAAATTAAATGGAAAATAATTTTTCATTTTTAAAAAATTAAATTAAATTTTATCTTTAATTCCCTTAAGAATTCTGATTAATAGTTTTTACCATTTTTAATTATATAAAAATTTCACGAAAATTTTTTCAGCTTTTAATGAAAATCAAATCAAATTGTTGACAAACCTTCGTAATTTTTTATTTAGTAAAACTTCGCTTAATAGGAAATACGTTTTGTTTGCGATTCATTACAAATTTTTTTTTTATGATTTTTCCATCACCATGAATCAAGTTGTTAAGCTCTTATTTATAATAGAAATAAATTTGTTGCTTGATGGCTATTATTTTATGTAATTTTTAATTTTAAATTATTAATTAAGTAAACTTCATAATGATTAATTTGAGGTTTTTGTTATTTTCTTGCGAAACTATTTATTGAAACTTAAATTTGGACATTGCTTTTCTACAATTTTTTGCGAATTGTGAAAAAATTGTCAAATATTTACTTTTAAAATTATTTTTTCAATAGAAAAATTAAGCGAATTTCCTTTGCAACTAATCACAGATATTTTTTATAGTGTTGTAAACAAGATATATTTGGCTATTTTCTTAAATAAAAAATTCCATCATCTTTCGAGTTAACAGTTGACATTTTGAGTTTTAGTAAAATATTCAAAACAAAACAAAATTTTTGGGTTTTAGTGATAGTGGTAAATTGTTACCAAAATTTTCCATTGTTTGCAAACTTCCTTATTTAGTATTCTAATAAAAAATATTATATAAGCATAATTGCTAACCAAAATTTATTTTAAGAAAATTTTACAAATTTTTAAGACATAAGTAACCCAAATTATCTTTAAATTAATATTTAAATAGTATATGTATTATATTCAGTAACAATTTGTATATTAATATATTTAAGTAGAACAATAAAAATTACTAATTGTAGGTGTTATTCTTGTGTACTGGATATTTTTATGGTACATACGGCGGTAAATTAAAAATGTAATGCTTTTGAAATAAAAACTTCAAAGTCTTGGATTAAAAATTAAAAAACAACAAACCAAAAAATATGAAATTTATTTGTTTAACAAACAAAAATACGAATAATTTCTTAAATCTCTCTTATCATTATTAAAACAAACACTATGTTGTCTATGTGTTATTTATATATGATAATCAAAATTCAAAGAAATAATTCTTATTCGAGTAAAATAGATGCTATTAAAAAATGTATATGTATGTATATAATAGACACATTTGAGAAAAGTCTCTTGATTGTAATACAACATTTTGGGGGAGAAGGAACCATAATTTTTTATCTTTACGTGATATTTTATATATTTGTGTATACCAATACCGTCTATATTTACAAGGCATTTTTCCGGCAAATAAAAAACATTCTTATCAAATCTATATATGAACGATATCAACATATTGTTTAATATCTACATATATTATATGTATGTATAATTGTAGCTGTATGTTTTCTATATTATTCTACGGTTTTTTGGAAAATTTCTGTTATGTGCTTTGAATAATGTTTCTAATTTGTTAAAAAATATGATAACTGTGAACACATGTATAAATGTATGTAGTTGAGTAATTTACGTAAAATATTATAGAAATATAACTGCATTTATATTCAGTTATATGTATCAATAATTTGTTGATATAGAGCGGTTACATGTACTGAAAATGTACCAATATTTTGTTGATAAAATCGTAAATGATTAGAAATTTAGGTAATTTTGGTTGACGGAATTTCATTATGTGCATGTATATGTATGTTTAATGTAGGATTTTAATTATTTAAATATAAAATTATTAAAAGCGAAAAAAAAAAATGAAAAATTTATTAAACTTGATTGTGTTTCTGAACATTGAAAGAATATTGAAGTGTTGGTTTAAGGCATTTATTACACACATAAATTGTTATTAAGTGACATTAACACCAAGAGCACATTCTCTTTTGTTTTTAAGTATATGAAATTAAAAATTTAATTATTTTAATGTTTTTGCTCAATAGAATATAATTATTATGGCGCATAAAAGAATGCGTAACTACATTTGATAAAAGTATTGATTTGAAGTTCTGTAGGAAATTGTAGTACGTTTATTGTACTGGCAGAAAAGATGTGAGAGAATCAAGGTGCTTTTGTATAAAAATTGTAAATTTTGTTCCAAGATATCGAAATATATGAAAAGTTTCAAACGAAAATTGATATCTATGATGATTTGAAGTATAGGATCGAGTAGAGAGCCAAAATTCAGTAAATTTTTGTAGAGTACATAGTATCTAATTGGAACTTTTTTTATGCTAAAAGCATTTTAAGAAAATTGGACGAACTTTAATATATACCTAAGATTTTTGCTAATAACTTTCGTTCGAAAAAGATCTTTCCAAAACTGCTTTAAACAAACAGTTTTGGAAAGGCGACACTAAACTCTAGGGTGCTATAGTTATTAATATATTTAGATAAATTATTTATTTTTGTCTAAAAACTGCTAAATTTCAGATTCCTACAAATTGCCGTTTAAAAGAAAAACTATATCATAAATTTGAAAAAATATAGAGTATGAAACTAGTAAGCATTTATTTTCAAAAATATTTTGAAAAAGTGCTACATATACTCGATACAATACTTACGTGCTACAACAAATGTTTGAAATAAAATAAAAACAACGAAGTGATTAGAAAAATGGTCGGAGTAAGTTACGTGCCGTCATCCCATACTTCATCATAAATTATGCAGGAAAATTTAGGGTGTGTACACTTCACATTAAATAATTATCGTAGTTTCTCACTTTTTGCTGAAACTACAATTTCATGATTAGATTTCAAATATGCCTTCAACTATAGAAATTAAAAATTCATTTCGACTTTATAAAAACGAGCTTTTTTGAAGAGTCTAAAACAAATAAAAAAATTTTGGAATTTTTCTACGAGAAAATTTTTTGAAAACTCCGCCCACGAGATTTTAAAAAATCTGAAATACCGAAAGATACTCTAAAAATTAAATTCTGAGTTTGAAAATTCAGTCTTTTATCCACGCCAAACTTTTATACAAATATAAATGTGTATTTCTTAAATTACGAGCTCTAGCAACTTCAATTAATTTTATAATTAAATTTTTCTAATGTAAATAGAAAAAGATATGAAAACTATGTACAACAATTATAACTTTCGATCTGCACATAAATAAAAAAAAAAATTTGAAATTACTCCTTACTTATTCAATTCCTAATTTCTTTTACTTTTTATTTTATTATGTAGAAGAAAAATAAATTTCCTTAAGATTATTATTTTACTTAACGTACAAACAATGAAAGGTCAAAGACGGACAACTGGTATGTCAATAAGAATAAGATTTATCTTGTATAATGCAAAAACCCTTATATAGAAGTATTTTGGCTAATTTAAAGGAAAGAGAAAATGAAATAATTAAGCGGTGGCCAAAATAAAAAGATACAACAAACTCAATATTTAGGTGTGGATAAGTGTAAATAGGATAAAGTAAAGCTCCTTACAATATTATTTGCTTCTCTCATTTCATAGCAAATTGTTATAATTAAACTTTAACTTTGTAATTAATTACAAATCTAATTTTTGTTCAACATCTTGAATGTTACACTAACTATCTTTAATATAATTTAGTGATTTTTTACAACCTTTTATCACATGCCATTTAATTTAACAAGGTTAAGATGAAAATACATGTACATCTACAAGGAATACATAAAAATAAATTGTACGTGCCAATTTAACTTTAACTAAATTAACAAGAAGACAATGACCCAATCTTATCTATAAATGTTTAATTAATTCATTGGGATCAAAATGTCCATAAGAATATAAAAGCAAGTTGTAAAAATCATTCATAAAAATAAATTTATGTACACATGTCAATTGGTTTAAAATTTGAAATTGGCATAGAACCATAAAAATTCATGCTTGTGTAATAAATAAAGTGCATTTGGAATTACTTTTAAATGGAAACCTTTTCAGTAGTAGTTTATTGAGGTAGAATGTCAATGAAAAAAATATTCACGCATTTCTATCGTGACATTGTATTTTATACGCTGAAAGTTTAATATGTATTACCTTTATAACAACATTCACATTCACACATTCAAATTTATAATTAAAATAATCAATCATCAAATAAAATGTTAATTGATTTTGACTACACATCACCAGTTCTCTAAGTTTTTAAGAGACAAAAAGTTAAGAGGCAAATTTACATACATTAAATTCACTCGAATTGTCCTTCCATCTGTCCATTGATTAAAGAAATATTTACACAAAAGCCATATTTTGATGGTTTAGTCACTTGAAGTTAAAAATCGCTCCTTACTTTTGTAAAAGCATTTGAATAGCATATTCTTGTTCCTGCAACAAATTTTGTGATTTTGTAATTTAAATCCAAAATTATATAAATTAAACCTGGAAAACTAGTAATACCGTAGTAAAAAATTTGTATCTCGTTTTTTTATTTAATTCTTAAAGTTTAAGCTATTCACTTCTAGGAAATTGGTTTCCTTTCCCTAAAGAGGAAGAAGACTAACTAAATTCCATAACCTTCCAAGAAGAATTCTATAGTTTTTCATAGTCTTCTACGAAGTATGATTTTTTTTCCTCTTGTCTAACAACATGAATTGTAGATGAGAATTGCGCTACTTTAAAAATTATTGATTTTATTTGACTTGATATTATTTTAAAGCGTTGCTACGACATTTGTTTATTTTTAATTTTTCATGCTCCACTATCATAACTATTACGTACGCCCAAAAGTATGCGTAGGTAAATAATTAACTGCTCCCAGAATAAAATTAATAAGATATTATTTTGATTTTTTGATTAATGATTGTAGTATAAATTGATCCTTTACCTTGTTTTATATTTTTCCTTTTACATAACCTTGAGACGATGTATATATAAATAAATATCTTCATATACGTAATATGCATAAACATATATGGCCTGTAAAAGCTTATGAAAGCATGTAC